TACGTCCAATGGATGATGATCTGACTAGTCGACTATCAAAATAATAGTTTGTGGCAGCCCTAGTTGAGACGATGGTATAGCTGCTGCTCTGTGTTTGTCACGGCGCTGTAGCTGGGTTTAAAATAATGTGGGTTTTGATTTTCATGAAGTACAAGCTCTCAAAACCTGCTGAGTGACATCACTGACTGGTCATGAGGTCTGCTGACGTCCAACACTCAGCTTGGTGTTTTGAAGCAGACATGACAATGACTGAGAAACAAGGATCTCTGCACACTTGCTGGATAAGGACTCATCACATCACTGATTACCATCTTGGTTTATCCTTATTCTTCCGCACTCTGGACTGCAGGTTTCTCATGAGCAGGTTCCTGGTTCAAACCCCGCCTGGGCCTTTCTGCCTGGAGTTTACACGTTCACCCAGAGGAGAGATGAAGGTAAAGTGTACAGACCGAAGCACTGCTTGAATCTGTGGTTAAATATGTAGTGTGGAGCACTTTGTGTATATTTGTTTTATTCCTTTAAAACACACATTTCTGGTTTAATCCTAAGAGAAAATCTTGTAAACTCACCTGAACCCAAAACTCACTGTAAACTGTGCTGTGATTGCAGCCATTCCCCAACTCTCTGTGAATGGTACTCATGACCATTGATCAGTGGTTGTTGATCAATAGTCATGAGAAGGAACTGAGGAACTGACCTCCCGGCCCATTGGTCCCTTAGTGGGCTGGTTTCAGTCATTATGCAAATGTACTGTTTATAAGATTTGGGGAAACTTGCAGTCAGCTGAGACTGAAGGAGGCAGTTGGATGAGTGACGAAACGTTTCTACGTCCAGATGAACAGAATCAACTTTTGGAGGTTTACTTTGTAAACATATCTTTAAATATTTTTCATTTAATTATGTAAATAATCATAATGGTGAAATGTTGTCATTTTGTCTTTATTTATAAGAACAACAGAGTAAACCCCTAAAATAACTTCCTTATATTTCAAAGAACTTGATTTAAATCTCACCAGAACAAATTAAATCTGTCGATCGACTCGTAGACGGAAGCCTGCACGTCTTTAATTCATATCAGACGTTTCCCAGCGCGTCATCCTGCTGCTGCTTCCTCTGGTTAAATCATCTTAAACTTTTGTCTCGATGTTTATCAGAATAAGAAACGTGATTTTTGTAATATCGGATGCTGATTCATTTACAAAATAAACAATGAAAATTGTGATTTGGAGCATCAACAACCTCAAATGAATAAACAGACTCAGAATTATTTGTCAGTACTCGATAAGTTTATTAAGGGACAATCAAAACGTCTTGCATGAAAAAGTAGGACCAAAGATAACCAATCG